ATATTTACTTGCAGCTATGGTAAAGGGACAATTGTGTTAGCAGTTCTGTGTATTCTAGTATCACATTGTCAGGATTAAATATTTATCACAAACCCTAATCAACCATGTATTGTGACTTTGCATAACAGAATATTTTTATATGAACTGTACAAAAGTAAATGTTTCCTTAAATTTTTCATAAAAATTCGATATGTAAATATTTCAGAAGCTTATTGTACAGGTACAACACAATTGCTGTGGATTTTGGTCCCAAAATGTTTAAAACGTGTCAGAAATTATTTTGTTTTACCAAATTTCAATTCAATGCTACATTATGTTTACACTGAAATTAGAATCAGGATGAAAAATTTAAACTCCACGAAGTTATATTGAATGAAAATATACCTTATCACAAATCTAACCATAGTGTTAAAATTGACAGACAGATGGACACAAGGTGCTAACTGTACTGTGTAATGAGGAAAAGGATAAAAATGTATATGTATAGAAAGCACTAACTGCATTCTTTGCTATCACTTGGTGTAAATATAATTATCAATTAAAAGAGGATTGGGGGATGAAAATGTTGGAATATATGCTTTGTCATATCTACTTCAGTGATGAATTAGTTTAATCTGTGGAAAATATGATTTCAAAAGAAATTATTATAAATCATTATAAATATTAATCAGAAACTGTTGTCATGACAACAACAATAAAACATTGGAATCTTGGGTGGATAAGTATTGGGGACAACCTAAACTGTTGCCATGACAACAACAATTAAACATTGGAGTCCTTGCTGGATAAGTAAATGGAACAAACAGCCTTGTTTATAACAGTGAGATGGACAAAAATAAAATTATCCAAATTCTTCAGGGATGGAGCTTTCAGTTATGTAGGAGGAATCCATAATTTTGAAACAATTTGTTTTACTTGTTGTTGTCACAAAGGTATGCAGTTATGGTGATATGTGCCATGACTAGCTGGGACTTCTATACGGCTGTTGATTACACTGATATTTTCTGTATCAAAGGATAAATTGATCACTTAAACTTAATCAGAGGTCTGATTGATTATATCTGAATCTGGGAGACATGAGTTTGATATAGGTGTCATATAGCTGCTGGTTATATGTCATATATAGCATCGGACATCCACGATCAGAAATTTTGCGGTTGACAACAACTGATAGAAGTATTGATGTACCCGTCACTCTGTGTCACAAAGATATGGGAAGGGGTCACTGTGATACGGTTAGCATTATTCTCTTCCTCAATGAATAGGTGGAAAATAGGTCTGATCACCACGGGATACTGAGGCGTATATATAAAAGACACCAGGACTACGCTTCGTCACTATGAGCTCCGTTATAAATCAATGAATAAAATAATATCAGTGCTGATGTTGTTGCTAGGATCAACATGGGACAACAACTTGACTTCTGATTAAATAGTTCGCTCATTGATTCACTTTCTATATTATGTATATTAGACTCTATAGAAACTGTTCACCATTCAATATCTTAATTGTCACCACGAAAATCAAAGCAGGTTGGTTAATAAGTTGATAATATTTTATAACCCCTGAATTGAAGAAAATTGTTAAGAATTCCTCTCTATGATTGCCGTCAAACTGTCAATTTTATGCTTTTATGTGATTTTTTATTCCTTATTTTTGTGAAAGATGTGTTTATTTATTAAACTCGCAAAGCACGAAATTAACAAATGAAACACAACTTCAAAATTACACAGCATATAAAAATTCTTGGACTAAAGGGCAAACACATTTTGCTTTATAGAAACAGGATCTTTGTTCCTCTGATGGTAATTTTGTTAACTGTTAAACAGATATATATCAAGTATGCACATGTATGTATAGCAAATAGAAGGAAATAACACTTAATAAGTATATATAGCTGAAGAAAAACACCGATCATGTAGCTGTGCATACATAGCTTTGAGAATTTCTACTCAGTGTACTGTTTATGTGTACAGTTACAAAATGAGTAGATAGTGTTAGGTATAACTGCAAGAGCTGAAGAGATTTCTCAGAATCTCTCTACCCATGAACTCGCTGTAGTCTAGATGTAAACTACCAGAGGCAGAAGAGAGGTCATTAAGAACTATTGACATCCCCAACTCAGTATAGCAGATCAAGCAAGAGGCAGAACAGGACGTTTTCAACTCAGTATAGCTGCAAGTGTAGCTACAAGAGCAGGAAGAGGAATCTGGGTGATAACAGATCGTCCAAAATCACTCACTTAATTTGGGGGAATTTGATTATTAATAGAGCCCACTTATCTGAATAATTGAAGAATGCATCCAAATTCCCACAAGACCAGTAAATATGTAGTTCCTTAATCATGTAACATTCTAATATGGTCATATCATATATAGTACAGCTGTCTTGTAAAAACCCATGCCTTTGTTTGTTGTCTGTTGGAGATGGTAGGTGGTCAACGAAGTGACCAGCTACTGAGTCACCACCGTTGAAACTGACCAATCAGCTTCGACTATTTCAGTCCTACTGAGGCCCCTACACTGGACATGAACATGTGTATGTTCCTATATACAACATGACAAACCTGTTCTGTTTGGTGGTTAATTAATCCTTCTACTTCTAAGTAATTGACTAAAATACTTTTAGATTTGTTCTCATACATATTTACAGGATACTTATTTTAGGGTTGAATCTTGCGTTTGTCAATTTCATGGGATGATGAATTGAGTCGGTCTTGAGACAAATTTAATGAACTGCGAAGCCCACAAATATAATCTGCTGTTTTGTAAAATTATTAACTAATTGTTTAGAGTTTTTTTTTCCATTTTTTTTTTCATGAACAGCTTTTTTTTTTAAGTTACATGTACATCCTCCTTTAAATATGCACATCATTCTTTACTATGTATAAATAGTTGAATAACTAAGGCAAATAAACATTTAAATATACTCACCTTCCTTGTTTCACTCAATCCAACATATACAGAACAGTGACTGTCAATCTTTATACATTACATGTAATATGATTATATCTCGTACAACATACATACCTTACATCTGTCATACATGGATTTTTTAAGTACGTGTACAATTGATATTAACATATTACATTAACAATAATAAAGTACATGATTTTATATGTATATAAGAATCACCACAGCCAAGAAACGGAAATCTGTTATCAGCTGGTTTACATTTAGTTATTCCCACCTGCTGCGGTGGTGTGTTTGGAAGTGTTCATCGAGCTTAGACTGTTTTCATTGTTTTGTAATAAGCCCAACCTCAGACTTTGAAGTAGGAAGCAATGTATAAAGCAATGTTATTCCATTGTCCTGTAATAAGCCCACCCTGACTTTTAAGTAAAAAGCAATGTGTAGGCCTTTGGGCTTATTTGAAAATATGGTATGTCTTTCTAGGTCTATAGAAACACATGTTCTCATCAGCAAATATTCCATGAAGGTATATAAATACCTATTAGAATTTTTCAGAGTAATGTCCTATTCTCCAAACAATACAATCCATTTTCTCATTCCTTTTGAATACAGTACTGATCAATGTAATTGTAAATAATACATTTGAATTGAGGTTTGCGTGATAAAAAACTAGAAATATACGGTGTTCCACTTGATATCATCACTATAGTGACCTCAGCCTTTCACTCCAACAGCTGACATTGTTTTCAGTGTGACTGTTGTTTGGTGTGAGACAGATTGTAACATGGAACAGTCTAGCAGTTATCATGATGGCTAAGATATATTTCCCTTAAGACCAGATCCAAATCTGTCTGTTACTTTGGTATTTTCATATCAACCAGAGTATCTATTTCAAACAAAGTAAACTGGATACAAAAATTTGTATTAGCATCAACCCTAGATTATGAGTTTGATATCTTTGTCTACGGTTCAGAGAGACAACACATGGTTTTCTATAATGTTGAGAATTTGTTGACTGTCTAAAATTACCTTGTATGTTTTTTTGGATAAAACATACATTTTAAATTTCAGAAAGACAACTTTTTATCTTAAATTATGGAAGTGATGCTTCTGTTATTGAAATGACAAGTCTTTTGATATCAGACTTTACAATAAACCTACCTCTCCATAACAAGAGGTTTTGTGATGATCAAACACAGCACTATCTATTGATGATATGAATACCCAGATCACATAACACGGATATATACATATGGCATATGGTAATGTGAAGCATAGTGAAATGAGCTGGATTCAAAAATTATAATGGTGAGGTGAAGTGCAGTTCATTTAACAATGGGTTTCGTTTTACCATTCTACACTTTACATGGATTTGAATTGAGCAACTTCAATTGTACATTTAACAGTACTTAATGACAGGTGGACCATGTATTTTGAACCTTTGGATCAACAAATACTTGTGTATCATCAAATAACCATACTTAACCAGCAATAGTCCCATGTCTGGTAATAAACCCAGCCATTTCTGTTGCAGTTATTGAGAATTGCCAACAATTGTTTGTCTTGTTATAAGTCTTGGTACAAAGATATGAAATGTGTCATTGCATGGGCTTTTATCGCTGGATAATTACGAATAGTAAAGAATATAGTAAAGAAAAAATTCAAATGACCTGACAATAAACTTACTGATATTACTTAAAGCATCACTCCGGTCGATATCAAAGAAGCCATTTTAGCATATATACCAAACTATAGAAAAGGATTTAACTTTGATATGGGATGCCATATGATGTAGGCCTCCTTATGGTGAGACCCAAGTCTGGGAATGAACTTTATTGAATAGACTCGTTCATGTTTATAGTTTGCATCACATTTTTGAAAAATAACAATTTTTTTTAATTGTGCATTATACGTGTATACGTACCGAAGAAGGAAAATCTTGTTTTAAGTAAATAGCATTGTCATCAACTTGAAATTTGAATAAAGTATACAACACAAAATGTTACTGAATTTAAATTTTCGTATACAATGATGAAAATAACTGCAAGCTGATAATGAATCACTAATGATTATTTTGTGTGGTTTCAGGTTACAATTGTTCACTGTTTGCCTATGGCCAGACAGGTTCTGGAAAGTCCTACTCCATGGTTGGATATGGCGCAAATCGGTAAATCTCTTTTATAATTACTGTAAAAACACATGTTCTTGGATGGGTTTTAATTTCGCACTTTTTCAAAAAATACTTCTCCAATGTCACTTAATTCTGTGGAATCATAGTGCTCTTGAAAAAAGCAGCAAAAAAAAACTTTGTCATTCCCAAATGTATAAATTTGTTGATTAAGAACACACACTAAATCAAGGAAAATAAATACCCTAAAAAAATGAATGTGCAGTATTCTGTATGGTATCTGTCCAGTTCTTATGACAAAAACCGCTAATATTGAAATGAGAATTATTTTGAATATTGTGTGCATTAAAAAGCCAAAATCCTGATATTGCCCACCTATCTACCCTATTATCCATGATGGTGTCACATGTAGACAAGTTTTACTACAGCAATGGCCAACCTGTTATCTGTGATGGTGTCCCATGTAGACAAGTTTCACTACAGCAATGTCCAACCTGATACCTGTGATGAAGTGCCATATAGACAAGTTTTACTACAGCAGTGTCCAACCTGTTACCTGTGATGGTGTCATATGTAGACAAGTTTTACTACAGCAATGGCCAACCTGTTACCTGTGATGGTGTCATATGTAGACAAGTTTTACTTCAGCAATGTCCAACCTGTTAGCTCTGATGAAGTCCTTTGTAGACAGGTTTTACTACAGCAATGTCCAGCCTGTTAGCTATGATGAAGTCCCATGTAGATAAGTTTTACTACAGCAATGTCCAACCTGTTACCTGTGATGGTGTCCCATGTAGACAACTTTTACTACAGCAATGTCCAGCCTGTTACCTGTGATGGTGTCCCATGTAGACAAGTTTTACTACAGCAATGTCCAACCTGTTACCTGTGATGGTGTCCCATGTAGACAAGTTTTACTACAGCAATGTCCAGCCTGTTACCTGTGATGGTGTCCCATGTAGACAAGTTTTACTACAGCAATGTCCAGCCTGTTACCTGTGATGGTGTCCCATGTAGACAAGTTTTACTACAGCAATGTCCAGCCTGATACCTGTGATAGAGTCCTTTGTAGACAAGGTTTACTACAGCAATATCTAAACAATGTTTGTGCCGACACATACTTTTTTTTGTTTGTTTCAGGGGTATTGTACCTATTACCTGTGATGAATTATTTAAAACTATGGCAACAAATACAGATACAAACAAGGTAATAATTCTAATTAGTATGTATTATCTAGATCAGATAATGAATTTTACAATAGTGGCAATAAAGAAATGTGACATATATATAAGGCCATTCATCAGATATTCACGCATTAGAATTTTAATACTATTTTATTTCAGATGAAATGTTTGTAATTCTAAGACAAATTGCAACATTTTTTTTGCTTTGTCTGTCCATCCTTTTGTTTATCTGCTTGTTTGTCCGTCTGTCTGTCTTGTCCAGAGCATATCACAAAAACCATAAGAGGTATCAACATAAAACTTCTAGCGTTTATTTGGGGGGCAGCCATCGGTCCTACAGATTCTCTTGTTATATCATTTACACTGATACTGATGTTATCATTAGGTACACCAATCTTTTAAAGTGTTGTCTCCCTTGATTTGTAGAGATTTGAGGTGACATTTTCCATGTTGGAGATCTACAATGAACAAGTACGGGATCTCCTTTCTCGTGAAAATCCAAAGGGAGGTCTGCAAGTCCGACAAAACCCCAAACTAGGACTATTCTATGTGGAAGGTCTCAAGAAAGTCCCCGTTGGCAGCTACGTAGAAATTGAAAAAAGAATGGATCAAGGTATGTATGGTATCATAATTCTCATATTTAAATCATTTATAGAAACAAATGTAAAGATGTTTGCTTTATTCCAATCATCTGAATAATATCATTGTATGATAAACTGTTCCTGAGATATTTGATATTATAATACACTGACTGTTGCTAACATGACTATGAGCATATGTACATTATTGGTAATATATCTATATGTAGTATCAGTTTGGTGGATCCTGTAAGGTTATTTGGTGAACCACAGAACTAAATTTTGGATGAGGACAGAATTTTTTAAGAAAAGAAATAGTGTGAAGCAGCTGGTCACATTATATCTCTTACGGTTCATTTCTGGTATATAGAGAATGAAAGAAATTTCAGGGGAAAGTAACATGGAAAAGAGCACTTTAATGTCAAACATCTCTTTAGTCATTAACAGTGATTCCTGATATGACCACTCTGTATTGGTGGTAAGTAAAAGATGATTTAAGAGTTGATAGACGACAATTCACAACAGGTATTTTAACCCTTCCAAAACACCATGCTTTGTTCCAGTTATTTGCAGGATTCATGCTGTCTTTCTTTGCTCTGCCTTAGTTTTTCCAACCACCATCGTTCTTTTCTGAATTTCAAATTTATTTCGTTTGAAAATGCTATGTTTATCTTTCTTATTTTTCTCAGGAACGGCCAATCGTACAGTGGCCTCTACAAACATGAACGCTACAAGTAGTCGTGCTCACACAGTTGTCTCTATTACATTTGACCAAATCATCAAGAGTGAAACCGGATCTGAGACCAAGAAAAGCAGTGTCATGAATCTGGTGGATTTGGCTGGTGAGTATGTAGAAATCATTCTAAAACAACGTGTGAACCATGAGTCCCTCACTGATGCCATTTGATTGGACCAAAGACCGGTGACTAGTGGTCTCCATGAATTTCTACATACATGTATTTTATTTTGTCAGGATCCGAGCGAGCAGACAGTACGGGAGCAACAGGTGACCGACTTAAAGAGGGTGCTAATATCAATAAGTCTCTATCTGCTCTGGGTAATGTAATATCAGCATTAGCAGATTTATCAACAGGTTCCAAAAAGAAAATAGTCGTCCCCTACAGAGATTCAGTACTAACGAAGCTACTACAGAATGCTTTGGGTGGGAACAGGTGAGATTTTTAAATCATGGTTTACAAAAATAAATAACTTTTACAAAGGAACTGTATTCCTCACCAATAGTATAGGAGATATAATTAGTCTATATACTTCTTGTGTTTGTCATTACCTATCACAACTCCTTGTAGTATTACTGTAAGAATTAGGTCACTGTGACCTACATTTTCTGCTTCACTGACTTAATTTCAAAAATGTAAGTCAAGCATGCATCATGTTTGATTCTTTTGGGTAAGTTTTTACATTAAATTTATGTTAATATTTTTTATTTCCTGTACAGTAAAACAATAATGATAGCAGCATTGTCGCCAGCTGACATTAACTATGACGAGACATTATCAACACTACGCTACGCAGACCGGGCAAAGAAAATTAAAAACAAGGCTGTCATCAACGAGAATCCTATGGACAAACTTATCAGAGAACTTAAGGCAAGTACAAGGCTGTCATCAACGAAAATGTTTTGGACAAACTTTTCAGAGAACTCATGGTCGGTACAAAGCTATCATTGATGAGAATCTGATGGACAAGTCAGAGAACTCAGTACAGCAGCAGTAGTTTAGCTGTCTAACCTTAAGAAGGATTGTATATTTGTATATTTTGACAGTATTGTGTACATTACAGGAGGAAAACGACAGGTTGAAGAAGGCTATGGAGTCTGGTGGGATGATAGAAGGATCTGCGGGGATGAGTCCAGAAGGTTGGTCCTGTTTCACTTTCAGCATATAGCTCATAGTCAACCATTTCTTAATTAATGATTGTGATGTGAGACCTGTTCAATGAAATGAGTGCTTGATTTGGGAGAATTATGATTATTGCAAACCATTCAAAACTCAGGTAAGCACAGTAGATATTCAGTTTTTACATTTGTATCTGGAATTCATTTGGTGTTTCAGAGATACAAATTATGATAAATGTATTTGAAGGTTTGTCCAGGAAAACAGTATGGGACACCTACAAGAGACAAAGCTCTTCACAAGTTTAGTACGATATGGCTGGTATCTGAGTAACAACAAGCCCTGTTCAGAATGTGTCTGATGATTTACAAGTTTGAATTACAAAAATGGATATTTTGTTCAGACACATTTTCAGTAATGACACCTAAAGGATTTTAATAATTTTTACCAATTCTAATAAATGTGGATCATTTGTTTAACTATGGTACTGGCTCCAAAAGACATCATGTATTTAACGAGAGTGTACATGGTTACAGAGATAGAGCGAATGAAGAAAGAGATGGAGGAAGAGATTCGTGCTCAACTGATGGCTAACCAAGCCATGTTGTCCGAGAATGACTCCAAAGAAGACTGGGATGCTAAGGTTAGGAATATTCTTTCTTTGTCTTTTTAATTGTATATTTATTTCTGATTGGCTATTTCGTTAATACCTTTTTGTTCTTTTTCTCTTTTTTTTTTTTCCAAATTACACAAATTTTTCATCAATGGTTACCATATATTTCCTTGCTGATTGGCAACACGGCTTTATCCTTCAGATTTATTTTGAAATTTTACAACACGATTTTGATTAAGAATTTTCTAATGTATTAATCTTGTATGCCTGGTTGTGAACAGTTGAGGGCTGCTCAGTCAGAAACAGATGAACTGAAGGGCGGAGGATCACAGAGCACACGCAGATCAAAGGAGCCTTATTTAATTAACCTTAACGAGGATCCCATGTTGTCAGGCGTCATCTGTCACTTCCTTGATACAGAGAAGACAACAGTGGGACGCAAGGATGCCCAACCCATACCAAATGTGTGTCTCAGTGGTCTTAGTATTCAAAAACTACATGCAATAATAACAAATAAAAATGGTAAAATAGAAATATCACCTGCTCCAGGAAGTGCATCAAAGACCAAGGTGAATGGCCTCCCTCTCAGTGACAAAAAGGAGCTCTCTCATAAAGACAGAATCCTGTTTGGTAAGTCAAAATAGGTACTGTTTGAATAGAGAACTTTGTGTTAGAAAATATCATTGATAAATGTTTTTCAAATGAATGTCATATATTTCTAGATGCTGACATTATAGCAATTTTTCTGTTTTCAGGATCTAATCATATGTATGTGATGATGATCCCTAAACACACAGACACTGCTGACAATACCTTGCCGAATGTCATTGACTGGGACTTTGCTCAGAAAGAAATTGCTGAAATCAAAGGATTCGCTACACATTCTTTAGGTCTTACAAAAGGTAGGCCAAATCAGGAGACGATAACCAAAGACAATTTTTCTAAGGGGAGATAATTATGTGCATGTAACTTTTGTCAAATGAAGATTCTAATTTGTGGTGATAATGAAATTGAACCCTACAATTAAGGACAATTAAAAGTACATTAACATAATTAACCTGCATGAGCAATCAATGAGAGACAACAAAAATGGCAATGTCACAAAGAAGGGTAATACTGATCAAGAAGAGATGACACAAACACAACCTTAACCAAATTGAAAGATGCTATATAATAATCAAAGCAAAAACAAAATAAAACCAAAAGACGATCAAATCAGCGAGTTGCATTCTGATTTATTGGTGAGATAATTTGAACTAAACTTGGAGTTGTTGTTTACAGATCAGCTGATTGCTCAGGAACAGGTTCTTGAGATGCTGCCGATGGTGTCGGAGGTTAACGCAGTGTCAGAGGAGCTGGACAAAAGGAAATCATTTGAGGTGGTGTTAATATCAGCAGCAGCACAGGAAGGAGTGGACGTGAGCTCCAACAATGGAACAAGGTATCAGTATCCCAGACAGCTTTAAATTATAAAGTCTTGTAAGGTGCTTGGAATGGTAGTGATAGAAGTTTGATAGTTTTACATTTTACATTTATAGAAGAGGAAATTTGAACTCAAAAGAAGTAGAAAGGCAACATCATAACTTAACTTAGACCATTTTAATTGATCTTTTTCATTTGATATCCATTGGCTGTATGGGCACCTACTACACACTAAATTTTGACTTACAAACCTAAGTGAAATTTTTCACTTTTATCTAGTAATCTCTTACGAAACAGTACATGTTGGGATGAAAAAAAATCTGAGGATACACAAGGAAATGATGCCTTTCATATATCAGGTTTAACTTTGTACTGTAGCTTCCACTGTAGGTTTAGCTCAAAACAAATAACACCACAAATACAGTCAAGCATTTATACCTTTAAACAATAGAAAAATACAATTTCAAGCAGAAAAAAGCAATTTTATGAAGTTGTGAATTAGATGGAACATTATGAAGTCATCAGGATCAGATAACAATTACACCTGTGAGTCATACGTCCATTGAATATAATATGTTACAGTAATATAATGGTGATAATACCTTAAGTTTGTGATTGTCATCTGTCATATTTAAGTTAGAATCTCCCATATCTCGTATGGTCAATAGATCTTCACTTGGTACATGATTACGAAATTAAATTAAGTATTTAAAGTTATTGCCTTAGATTTTTAAGATGTTTTGAATGAACATTTGTATTAAATAGGATGGTGTGAATTTTTTCAGTTGGATACCAAGGCAAGTTGGAGAGTAATGCTATTCTGCTGTACCATAATTTAATGTTTTATACAGCTGGAATACATTGGCCATACTGTAAGGGGAGATAAGCTCTACACTCCCCATAAGGGGAGGTAATTTGAGTCTTTTTTCAAGATGAGCAGGGTAGTGTTATCTTGAAAGTTATTTCAAGACCAGGAAATCATTTAAATTCTACATTATTTAAGGGGAACTAAATGAGAATGAAGCCCTATTTTAAGTATAGTAGTTTAAACAAATTTGTCTGACAGGAGATTATCAAGAAGTCCTGTTTGTAAATTATGACGAGAAATATTTACATAGCCTCAGATGTATATCCAGCTGTATAACAAGCTTTTGTCTGTAACTCTCACAAGACCATTGTTAACAAGGCCTGTTAATTTCACAGTCATCACAGATCTGTTATCATTGTTTAAATATTGTCTTACAGAAGAGAGTTAGCCTAAAATGATTAATAGATGGGCTACATTAACCAAGTTCAATATCATAATTTACTAAATTGAGTGTGATCACAGTGCAGTATATTACAAATTAAGTTAACCACAATTTCACATACTGTATGTAACATGATGCACATCATGATTATTTGTGTGAATTTTATTAATGGTGTTTTTGATGTTGAAATTAACTTAAATTATATTATCATGTTCTACACATAAACCAAAATGCATTATGATCAATGTGAGACACAGATCTTGTTTCAAAAACCCTTATATGCATTCCGTTAAAAATCTGCTGCAAAATGTTAAGGAACTTCTTAAAACCTGTTTCTTCATGACCAGTGCCTAAAGCTTTGACTTGAATGCTTCAATGAAGCCATGATATTGCTTATAAGTTGGTCTTTGGATATGACTGCAAGTATTGGCTTAGGGAAAAAAAAGGTACTGTTTCTTGCAATTCTATTATCACATTATATTAATTAGGAAACAAAACGTACAAATGTATCTGTGTGTTGTTTACAGATATGATGAGGGGAGCTCAGTGAGGTAAAGCCTTATACTGTTAGGCCAAACTCTTTGTTGCTATAGATTTTATTGTTGTTTTTATTGGTTAGTGTGAAACTGAATCATTCAAAGTGTGGTTTGTTTAATGTTAAAGCTCTGTACAGTTTTAGTAGTATGAAATGTTATCTTGTTTATTAAATCATTTGGTAAAAATTGAACATCAAAATTTTGATTATAAGATAGTACAATTAATATATAGTGTTAATTGGTTATGAATATTTCAATTACTAACTGCAAAATTAGTGGGTAAATTAATAAATATGCTGTATATGTATACTTTTTTGGGACATGGATTACATAAATGTTATGTGATGTATTTTTTTAGTCTACCAGTAAAGTCATAATCAAGTTGTGTTTGTCATTTTTCTTGAGAAATAAATTAAGATACTATAAGTTTGATGAGTATAAAACATTAAGTAAGCCAGACTTTGAAAGGTCATACATCCTAAATACATGTGGATTTTTGTAGTATTGTGCTACATGTGATTTACTCTTCAGCTTCACATCAGCTGTGTTGGCTTGACCAATTTTCTTGGTTGTAAAACAAACCTTTCATTTATAAGTTTTTCAGTGACTCGCTGTAGTGATTGTGTGAGGGACAAATCTTCATAATCCGGTTTTGATTCTTATCTTCTTTTATCAATGTGATCATTATTTTTTCATACTGTATCTGCTCTTCAATGAGATCTTTTAGTTTCATTTCAACTCTGTAACATCAAGTGTTTACTTGTTTGTTCAGTGTGATTAGCCTGGTACCTATCACTTTTATCAATGATGAAATGTCTTTGAGAATAACTGGCAATGGAATTTGTAGCTCTGATTTCCTTTCATTTCGGTAATATGCATTCTAATTTTACTTACTGCTTTACATCTTCATGTTGTCATAAAGGTCGTCTTCTCCATTCCAATTCTTAGAGATGAACTAAAAAAGAAAGAGAAGAAAAACTCAATGAATTTTCTAAGCTACAGTTTTTTGTTTTGTTACGTTATGTTTTTTTTTCTTCCTTTTCTTTACAAGAAAACCTTTAGAAATATCATTTATATATTATTCTGTCAAAATCTGTGGGATAGTCATTTGAAGAAAGTATATTAGAATTTTTTAATGTGGAAAATTATCATTTCAAGTTACATGGTATTTCCAGATCTGCAGTACATTTGTAAATGAATAGAGTTAAGCCTGTGGTCACTGTGGGCTTACCCATGGTGCTGGACATCACATTTAATATCCATGGTGCTGGACATGACATTTAATATCCATATCATGGGGCTGACTGTGGGCTTACCCATGGTGCTGGACATGACATTTAATATCAATATCATGGGGCTGACTGTGGGCTTAACCATGGTGCTGGACATGACATTGAATATCCATATCATGTTGCTGACTGTGGGCTTACCCATGGTGCTGGACATGACATTTAATATCCATATCATGGGGCTGACTGTGGGCTTACCCATGGTGCTGGATATGACATTTAATATCCATATCATGTTGCTGACTGTGGGCTTACCCATGGTGCTGGACATGACATTTAATATCCATATCATGTTGCTGACTGTGGGCTTACCCATGGTGCTGGATATGACATTTAATATCCATATCATGGTGCTGACTGTGGGCTTACCCATGGTGCTGGACATGACATTTAATATCCATATCATGTTGCTGACTGTGGGCTTACCCATGGTGCTGGACATGACATTTAATATCCATATCATGTTGCTGACTGTGGGCTTACCCATGGTAAAAAAGGGCCTAGTGTATTGTTGTTGGTTGGTGATTTACGTGATAGAATGAGTGAGTTGTTGTTTGTGTGACTTGTTACCTTGTTAGAATTAATAAAATTAGTGTCGCTTTAGAAATTTAGAGTGTGAAAAGTAGATGTGATGAAGTACAGTTTAGAAATTTGATTTTCAGTGAAAAGTCATTGTAATGAAATACTTTGATTTTGTTTTGTGTCTATATTCAGAGTTATGGTGAAAATGACCAACTTGCTCAATGGTAACACATGGCTGTGGCAGCGCGGTAAATTCCTCAACAGGAGATATCTCATACAGGTAAGATACAGTAGTTAGAAAAGTGTATACAGAAATTATATAAATAGAATCAGCATTTTAAAAAAATATTTGTATCATAATTTTCTTTTCAACAAATAACCTCTTCAAATGAATCAATGGCAAAGATCTTGGTTTATTTAAAAGAAATATATTAAAATTTTGATGATGACAAAAAAATATATTTCCACTGAAGTGAGTTAATTGTTATGCAATTGATTGTAAAACATGTCCACTACTTACTTTGTAAGAATATGATATCTTATAAAAACTTTCTTGCTGGGAATCACTACAATAGTATATTTAGTTTGATAAAAGTTATATTTATTATTCTTCATTTGATTAGGATTTGTACCAACGATTTCTCGATGGAGATGATTTATCCAAAGTTTCCAAGGAAGAGGATCCGTTCTGGGAACCACCCGAAGAGGTCCTCATTGGAACAGCAAACGCTTTCCTCCAGTCCCTGTCCTTTGCACTGGATTTTGATGATCAGCTTATTATCACAGACTACAAAGGCCAGGAGGAGGGAACTCTAGATGTGAGAGTGGCACCGTGTGATGCCAAAGGGAAACCTGCAGATGATGAATCATTTGTTGAGGATCCTAGTGAACTACTCAATAAACCTTTCTATTTCAAGGTAAATTTGAATGATGTATTTGTGACCAGGACGGAACATTCTTGTAATAATTACTTTCCGATTTCACTAGAGAAAAAACAACTATATATTACCACATAAAGAAAAGACAACTCAGGCACATGCTATGACACTGGTTGTGTTATTATTGCATGCACTGTAGCAATGTCAAAATGGGATGAATCAGCAGTTTTATGTGCCATTGATGATGTATATGGTTCATCACATTTTATGATTTTATTTGTAAGCGTGTACGAAAAATGCTCGATCTGTTCTGTATACAAGAATAACTTAATCCTCATGTAAAAGTTTGGGTCATGGCCAGCATTAAGGAAGCCTTGTGCTGACCATATATTCTTCCCTGTCAATTAGTCCAAACTGATATGTAAGTGATATTGAATATCTGTTATAACAAGTATTATTGTTTACTATCTCCTCACACTATTTTGAAGGTGACCATGTAGTCATCAAAATGCCAAACTCTAATTTTCTACTGTGTTATAAGAACTTATATTCTATTAACATTACCAACCTAAAGAAAATGTTCTGAAGTGTTGTTGTTTTATATATCTTGAAAGTAAAGCACAAAGTCCTTGTTGATAATGCATTTAATAGTGCAGAATATATTCTATTGAACCTTGGTTTAAAGAACAGAATCATTGAACAATTGTCACGGGAACCATGATAGAAATACAAATTACAGCGGCCAGATTCCAAGGAAACCAAATATCCTTGAATTAGTATAATACAATGTAGAAATTTTGAAATTTTTCAGGTATTTGTGAAAAAAGCAGAAATTAACAAGTCCAGATTTTCCAGAGGAATACGTGTGCAGTTTTCACTACCATTTCCAAACAAGAAGACTGAATTGGCACAAACTCAAATTATTAAAAACACACTAAGTCCGGATTTTGACTTTTCCAAGGTCATAACTATAAACAAAGTACACAGTGACCATTTAAAGTTTTTAGAAAATGGATGTTTGACTTTCTATGTGTTTGGTATGCAAGAAGATACACGGCCAGAACCCAACCTGTCAAAGCTCACAACAAAGGTAAGGCTATAAAAGATCATTTGGAGTTCAAGGTCACAAGATTCAATGAAACAAATTGTGAAAAAAATAAAAATAGATATGCAAAATAATCGAAATAGGAGAGAATTTTTTTCCCTTTTGTATGTTATTATATCTATCAATTTTTAAAAACTCAACATGTTTGTCAATAATTTATTTCTTTTTTTGTCGTATTGCATAACATTTTTGGATTGGTCAGTTTATTCAGGAAATCAAAAGAAATTTTTCTCACTAGACCAAATATGAATTTTGATTCCATCATATAATAGGAATTCAATAAATAAACTTTGAAATATGCAGGAATTAAGACAGCGAAACAATATGAAGGAAAATGCTGACACCACAGTACGTAGAAAGACATTGTTTGGTAATGACATCGCCTCAGATCAGTCCCACCTAAAGGCCGAGGTGGTATTACTACAGAGAAAACATGACAGACTCGTACAGAAGGAAAGACGAATACAGGTACAGTCCTTTGATACAGCTTCTAGTGTATACAAACACAGAGAATTTGAAATTATGTGGTCAGATTTTGTACTGTAGGATGATTAAAAAAGCTGTATCCTTAATGAAAACAGCTGGAATAATGTATCAGAAACTAGCAACTCATCCATCCCTGATTATAAAACAGACTTAACAGTAGATATCAGGACATACAATACAACAGCAGCCAAAATCAATATTTTGATATTTTTCATATATTTTTTTGTTTTTTTTTGTTTTTTGGGTTTTTTTAAATCTTGATTGTTCTTTCATTGCCTTCCGTCCAGTCACACTTATTAATTAGTTAGATAAGAGCACTGATGTACCACAGGGTTAATATTATTTGGCAGCTTTGGAAATGATGGTACTCTGTGGACAAGGTCCAACAATAATGATGTTGGTAACTAATGACTTTGTCTTGAATAACCATGTAAAATGAATGGCTACTAATACTGTTAACATATCTGTTTGTCTGAAAAAATTTTAAAGAGCAGCATAACATTTTTGGCGTCCCGATTGTTTTTGTTGAACATCCTTTGTGTTATTTATCATTTATAGGAAATCTGTAAAGAGTGGGAGAAGAAGCAGGAAGGAGAACGTGAGTTTGAACCATTTTATCGGGCTGTCTCAGCAGCTGCCTTCAGTACAGGGACAAGGCTTAAGACACGGGTACAAATGCTTAACCAGGTAAGATTACACTCACTACAACCCAACTCCACACCAGCTAATCAGTATATGGTGATTCCATAGATTAAGAGTTTGTGTAAGGGAAAACTTCTAGATTAATTAAGGCTGATTTTGATTATTATAGATATTGATTGTTTTTAAATTTTATTGGGAGGAATTTTTTTATGTATCTAATCAAAGTTCCACAGATTGAACAGAATGAATGTTTGCCATCTAATTGCAATTTTTTTTTAGGTTATCATTTTCAGGGTCACTTGACATGACACCAGAGTTCAGTTCTTCAATTTCAGCCGGTCTTTTGATATTCCATACTAAACTCTGTTGGTAGAATGGCCTAATGGACCTTAGATAAGCTGAATGTTTCTAATGGTTTTAAAGGTCTATTCAATTCTTGTAAGGTCTACAGAAAAAACAGATTTCAGGTATTTCATCCGATTTTTATTGTCAACTGCTGTTTGGCTATTGAAAGAATGTTGTTATGGATGTTCTGTAAATAGGTTTAAATATTGACCAGTGAAATAAAGTGCACTTGTTACTGATCTTACTTTTTACCATTGCAATGTTAAGGATAATTTTTAGGTCACCATCTGATAAATTACCTTGCATCCATCGTCTGTCCTTGGTCAGTTCTTCTTGTCGATTATTCTTGAAATACTAAATAGATTTCTCTCAAATTTCATATGAAGATTTTCTCTAGTTCCAAGTTGTGCTCTTTTGATTTTTGATCAAAGAGATAAATGGCTGACAAACAGCAGGTTTAGATTTTGATAATGAAATTTTTTTATCGCTATTTATTTAAATGTCTAGATGAATCACTTCCTCAGATTTCATATGAAGTTTCCCATGCTCCTTAGTTGTTCCTTTTCAGTGTTGGAACTGATCAGAAAAGCAAATGTTGACATGTGGCCATCTTGGATCTTGACAATGAAATGTTGTCAATGCTATTTTTTTTCCAAGAAGTACTGGATGGATCTTTGTCAAATTTCATGTGTCAGATCCCCTTGGTTCATAAATAAGCCCTTTTCATTTCAATTTGATAGTTAAAGACTCTAATGACTATCTATTAAGAGGAATTCTCAAATCTTATAAAATAGAAAAAAATAAGAATGAAGAGAAAAAAATTCAGTATTTAGAGAACAAATTAAGATCAAACAATGATGGGCACCAAGATCCCTCTGGGATCTGTTTTTTATTTTTAGAATTCAAAATATCCTGATATGCATAGAAAATATTTCTATGCTTGTCCTAAAACTACTCATGCGTGAAGTTTCATGTCGGTTTTTAAAATTGAACTTCGCATGCACTGAGATTTCTTCTTGTTTGACTTTAAAGTTGAAGATCTAACTTTTCCAAGCTATATCATCAAGTTTTAGAGTGATATATTAGTGAATATACACTGAAATATCTGGGTACCTTTTCTATTTGATAAAAATCCTGTATATCTGCCTTACATTCTTTTGTTCTTAATATTAATCCATCAATCTGTGAATATCTCCTGACATTTAAAGCCTTTTCAGTTATTATTAACATTACTTACGTGTATGTATCATTTCATACTAATTCAAACTTCATTTCAGATTTCCATTTTTAAACCTTAAGCAAGACTTGTAGTACTGCTAATGTAGAGAAACTTCATACTGAAACAGAAAAATCAGAAAAGGCTAATAATGTGGCAGCAGTGACCTAATTTAGTTTTATCAACTGCAGGAAGATTCTATTTCTGGTCAAGTTTGCCTTCTAAATTTAATGGTTTGAGCACTAAGTAATCATTATCAACTTGCTCTGTGCTGGAAATAGTGAGTCAGAAGTAGGTAGCCATATTCTTTAAAATCTCTTTAACTGATTTTTTTTCAATCTTTTCACCATAATTGAAAGAACTCATTTTATGTACCTGATAAAAAATTCAAGCTTTCAAGGAAATGAGACACCTTAGACTAATTTTTGATGAAAGACTGTAATGTTGTATTTAGATCTATATTTCGTGTTTGTACTTTAACACTGATTTCTTTCAGATGTTACGGTTACAAAGAGCAGTTAAAATGGATGACTCTAGCGTTTCCCCACAATTAAATCCCCCTGTGCTACCCCCAGTAAGACCATATCTCTAGATGTTATACATAACCTGTCAGTATTAATTGTGCATATTTTTTTTCCTCTTTGTTGCTGCCTGTGAATGCAAACACACAATAATGCATTAAACAATATGTTCTGAAAATGATTGTCTTTTCTCTATTCTAATGACATATGATTGCAAACGAAATGAAGTTAGAGTAGAATGTTTGGTATTCACGGTATTTTCCAGATAACTAACTTCATAGAAACTTGAAAATGATAAAAATATTTTGTCACTTAAATGGTTTCCCCCAATCTACTGCTGACGAAATAAAATTTAATGCAGAAAGAATTGCATTCAAAGTCTTAACTGATTTTTGAGCGCACTTTCAACTGTTCATGCTTAAATCTACAGTACTGCTATGGTACTTTCCTCAACACTTTTGCTGACAGGGTTATTTTCAAAGCTTTTGATGATGGCAAAACTCTGAAAACTTGTTGAGGAGGCAGATTTCTAAGCTTTTGATGACAGGGTTGCTTTCTGAGCTTTTGATGACAGGATTACTGTCTGAGCTTTTGATGACAGGGTTGCACTCTAAGCTTTTGATGACAGGGTTGCTCTCTGTGCTTTTGATGACAGGGTTGATCTCTGAGCTTTTGATGACAGGGTTGCTCTCTAAGCTTTTGATGACAGGGTTGCTCTCTAAGCTTTTGATGACAGGGTTGCTCTAAGCTTTTGATGACAGAGTTGCTTTCTGAGCTTTTGATTACAGGGTAGCTTTTTGAGCTTTTGATGACAGGGATGCTATCTGAGCTTTTGATGACAGGATTGCTCTCTGAGCTTTTGATGACAGGGTTGCTCTCAGCTTTTGATGACAGGATTGCTCTCTAAGATTTTGATGACAGGATTGCTCTCTGATCTTTTGATGACAGGATTGCTATTTGAGCTTTTGATGACAGGATTGATCTCTGAGCTTTTGATGACAGGATTGCTCTCTGAGCTTTTGATGACAGGGTGCTCTCTGCCCTTTTAATGACAGGGTGCTCTCTGAGCTTTTGATGACAGGGTTGCTCTCAGCTTTTGATGACAGGGTTGCTCTCTAAGCTTTTGATGACAGGATTGCTATCTGAGCTTTTGATGACAGGATTGATCTCTGAGCTTTTGATGACAGGGTTGATCTCTGAGCTTTTGATGACAGGGTGCTCTCTGAGCTTTTGATGACAGGGTTGCTCTCTGAGCTTTTGATGACAGGGTTGGTCTTTATGATTTTGATGACAGGGTTGGTCTTTATGATTTTGATGACAGGGTTGATCTCTGAGCTTTTGATGACAGGGTGCTCTCTGCCCTTTTAATGACAGGGTGCTCTCTGAGCTTTTGATGACAGGGTTGCTTTCTGAGCTTTTGATGACAGGATTGCTCTCTGAGCTTTTGATGACAGGGTTGCTCTTTATGATTTTGATGACAGGGTTGCTCTCTGAGCTTTTGATGACAGGATTGCTCTTTATGATTTTCATGACAGGGTAGCTCTCTGAGCTTTTGATGACAGGGTTGCTCTCTGAGCTTTTAATGACAGGGTTGCTCTTTATGATATTGATGACAGGATTGCTCTCTGAGCTTTCGATCACAGGGATGCTATCTGAGCTTTTAATGAAAGGGTCACTCTCTTAAGATTTTGATGACAGGGTCACTCTCTTAGTGTTGTTGACAGAGTTGATCTCTTAACTTCATTGACAGGGTTGATCTCTCAGCTTCATTGACAGAGTTGATCTCTTTAACTTCATTGACAGGGTTGATCTCTTAACTTCATTGGCAGGGTTGATCTCTTAACTTCATTGACAGGGTTGATCTCTTAACTTCATTGACAGGGTTGATCTCTTAACTTCATTGACAGGGTTGATCTCTTAACTTCATTGTCAGGGTTGATCTCTTAACTTCATTGACAGGGTTGATCTCTTAACTTCATTGACAGTGTTGATCTCTTAACATTATTGTCAGGGTTGATCTCTTAACTTCATTGACAGTGTTGATCTCTTAGCTTTTTTGACAAAGTTGATCTGTAAGGATTTGCTATCAGAGTATATATTTAAATGTGAGATGCTTGCTTTATAATATCTTTCAGCCTTTGTGGGTTGATCTCTAAGCTTTTGTTGAAAAGTGACTTTATTGGTGATGGGGTTGGCCTCCAAACTATGTAACAAACATGTAGGTGTTTAAGTAGATTTACTAAGTTCTGGATTATATTATAATTAATTAATTATCAAACATTTTTATAGGGCTTTATGAATTACATGATTTAAATCCATATACATTTTTTGTTTTGAAAAACTTATATTGAATTAAATATATTCAGATGAATAAAGTTCCATTGAAAAACAGTATTTCGTGTTGATGGATTTCACAAGCAGCAACTGTTTGGTTTTTACTGAAGCTATTTCACATCTCATACTTTGGTTTATATAATGCTTTCATTTGAACTTGTTTAACTAGTGATGTATATAAATTTTCTTAACGCTTTCATATGTGGGGTTTAACTACCCTGAAGTTTATAAAGGTGTGGTATAGTTACAAAGTACAATACTTAACTGTTTGTTTGGTAGTTCTAATTCATGGTTTGATGATATCACTGATATCTTTAAAATGTAATATACTGTCAAAATGGTTTATATGACGACAATGTAATATATGTTTTAATAAGGATTTAACAGTGTGCTTTGTTTATTTTATCTTACAGTACTATTCCATTCTAATTGTTGAAAAAGAAAATCAGTAATATTTTAGTTGTTTGAATACTTGAATATCGTGTTGAGAATCTTTCACATGTAGAACACGTATAATTTCAGGATAAAAATGCCAGAAATTCTCCTAAAAAGTAACATTTATTAAACTAGAATATTTCAATAAATTGGAGAATACAAGTCCTGTTATCCAATAATTTGTTTTATTACCAACAATATTCTTTATTAACATGTGATATATGAAAAATTATATGTCAAAATGAAAAACACAAACAAATGGTAAGCTTTTTCATTTGTTTTCTGAAAATTTGTTTCCCCTTTTTATTTCTTTTGTTCTTTTTGGGTGGTGTTTTTTTTTGAGGAGTTAAAGATAAGGACAATAAAAAAGAAAAAATGATATACATAACAAATTACCTGTATTTTTGAGAATAATTCACAAACACAGGAAGTATTTATTTTTATGCTTTCACCAATTGTCTTCTCCTTTTCACTATGGTGAAAGTTTATACGAAGTCCAAGACTAAGGATACTTGGAATGCATTCATGTTGTGGTAGATTCTGTGGAAAAACTCACTTTTACTGTCTAAAGAAATTGATCAGTGATTCTAATTTGCACAGGAATACAGGGGCATTCATGTATCACATTTGTTATATATATATATATTTGTTTGTTGTAAAAACCTGCAGAACCCTGTAACCATGAAGTATTATTCCAATACACACCTATGATAAATGTTTTATTGATTTTAGCATGACCTCCACTGTTCTGATCTGTATCTTCGATGTTTTACCTGATTTATTGCACTTTTCAGTTGTGAGCTAGTCCTAAAGCACCTTCTAGATTTTAAATTTTAAAACATTTAGCTGTTATCTTTTCAAAAGTTTAGGGATGAAGTTTACAGATAATCTCTGAAAATTGACATTGAAATGATATAAAGATCTTATAATTTTTAGAAATATGTGAACTTTAATTGCTATACAACTTTTTGTAAAATGATATTTTATACATACATGTAAATGCATGGATATCTTAATATGATGTACAATCAGACTTGTTATATCTCAAAATTATTTAGAAATAAAATGTTTGTGAAGGCAATAATGCTGTCAAGTGTTCGGGTAAGGAATGCAGGCAATATCCCACTGTATAAGGTGTACCTGGTCATGTATATATGGGAATTTAATCTTTCCTTTTTGATCAACTCAAAACATTTGATAATTCACCACTTCGTTAATGAATGAAACCAAAATTGTGTCATTGAATTACTATTTTGAATTCTGATTCTGAGAAAAATTGAAAATTGAATTTTAAGGCATTAGCCAATACTTTCTTGTTTCTATTGTGTTTCATTAAATACAAATTCTTCTGTATCAGATATGAAATCTCAAGCTGTGTTTTGTAGCAAAGATTTGTGATAGATGTCATGTCATCATAACAATTATTTTTTTGAGTTGAACAAGTTTTGACTGTGCATGTATATGTTTGGAACCTAGGTATTGTAATGCATTTCCTTCTGCAATTTTTAGTCTGTTCCCGAAATAATTTCTGTTATGTTGTATCTAAATTGGATTTTATTTTTGTTATTTGACTGTAATTGGCTTCCGTTTTAGATCCTTCGGACAAGTGCTGCTCCTGGCAGTATCTCTCGACAGAAAACCATGGACCCTTCCATCGTATGTCCCTCGTGACTTTCACCTATTTTTTGTGTGGCTTCCATTCAGTATATTCACTATAACCATTGCTTCAATAAAACTGACAATGTATGCTGAACTACTTACTTCAAAAAATGCAAAATTGATTTCCAGATAATCTGTTATTTATTGTCTGAGATGAATAGTTTTTTTCTGTTAAAAAAAATATATATGGAAGAGTCTTCTATTTTGCTGAAAAAAGTAGTGTTTTACTGCATTGTCAGTTTTGTCTCTTTTTTTCACGTTTTGACTTTTTTATTGCTTTTCATAAAAGGAATATAGAATCCAGCTAACACGACAAGTGATTTTTCCATACTGATACACTAAAGCACTAAGCTTTCCCAGGAGTTCAGCTTTCAGTATCGCCAACATAGAAAAGCAGAGACACCAAAACTAGCCACATCTTTATGTATTTGCCATTAATTTTAATGTGTGTTCAGGTGACTACTTAAATTAATCTGGACAGTCGATTAGATTTCCAGTCTCCACTGTGGGAATGGAGCCGAGTCGCTGTAAAAGGGTACCTGATTGCTTTTAGCTGCCTGTGTGACAAGGAAAACCCTTGCTTTCATCATATTTGCTTATTAGATAATATATCATCCATACACCTCCCTGTTAACCTGCAGTTTTGATCCAGGACGGAAAATATTTCAGTGTCCATGCTTTTTCACATGTTTTCCTAGTCTAGAAGCACATTCTCGACTCAGAAATGTGGAAAGTATTTATGAGTAGACTGATATATGGAAGGAGAATATTTTTCTATAATGGGCTGTAACAAAGACACAATTGCTCGTAAAAATAAACTCAAATGATGGTATAAAATTTGAACAAATAATCATAGCATGGATTTTTGTCCTTTTCATTGGGATGAAATGAGTTTGGAAAGATCTGTTAGATGAATGAGTGAAGTACAAATAGATTTTAAAATTAGAAACAAACACATGAAAGTTTATCAATCTCCGATATCTTTTTTCAGCTATAGGAAAAGTTGAATTCTAAACTATATCAGAAAGAGATAATGCAAAATGTCCTGCCACTAGTCTAGACTAGTAAGGTGACTTGTACACAAGATTTCTACTTCTACAGACCCAAGGAGTTGTAACAGTCTGTAGCTTGTGTTCCACAACCAGTTTAAGTGGAATGCTGACATGCAGATTATTATATTAATAGTTTCAGGAATGCTTTAAAATATATGTATGTTTGACAATCGAGAATCTCCAGTGTGTGAGTTAGTTTCATAAGGGTTAGCTCACTGTTTTACCTGTAACAGCTGAGAACAACAGTTGTATATGCTTTTAAGAAGTGAATTTTACTTCAGAGATGTTTTCCATAGTCATGATAGTTACTGGATCTAACAGGAACTTTCATTTCATAGAAAGTTCAAGAAACAAGTTTGAGAAATTTCAACATACTGTAGATAGACCATACCTGACCTAAAGTGATTTCTGCTTTATCTGCGAAGACACTATTGATCTTGTGATGAAGAGAATCTTAAATTTGTTTCCATTTCATATTTAATTTATGCTCAAGGTTCTTCAATTGGATGTCACAAGTCCTGGTAATAGGTAGTATTGTATGATATTAGTTCATTCATACAAATATTACACAGGTTAATTCGCTGAATGATCATGTGATGAAACAACACAAGTCTGATAAAGGTATATCATACTTAGATAGATAAAACGGTACCAGAACCTGTCTGTTCTAGCGGACATTAGACCTATCTGGATGCTGTTTGTAATATTTATCAAAATGGTACTGGTAAGTATTTAGTTGTACATTTATTACTACGGTATCCAAGAATTGTCTGGACATCATGCTTATATTTACAATATTAACATACTCCCATTGTTTAACCTTTACACTTCATTCTATGTTGTGTCTTTTCCTGTACAGGTTTTACAAGGTCAAAAATTTGTGCGCTCTTTGAAAACAGGAAGTGATGTAAGATTCCTTCACTTGTATGTAGAAATGCATTGTGATCTTAACCTCAAGTTTTACTAATCCTACCATAACAGCATAGAAAACCAATGATGTCTGTTCTGCCAGCACTTTCCATTGTCTTCTATATTAAACCTGTTGTATTTTTGGACAAGTTTATTCAACCATGGTAAATATTAACTACGATATACCACCCATCTGGAAAGAACCTCTCCTTATCTCAATTGCTTGATTGTAATTCTAGTAAAGGATGGGTCATGGGTTCCGTTTTAGAGAATGACCTCTGATATGTATATATATTTCAGTTGTATATTATTGTCAGAAGAATTTTATGGTAGGTCAGTATCTTTGATGGCTTGATATTAGCTCTTCTTGGTCACGATCAACTTTCTGATTTTATTGAGACACATTTCGAATCATTTTGCTGTAAAATTGAAATTTATCTAGAGTATCATTTCTCCATCATCAAACAATCGTCAAAAACTACAAAATAGTGAAGCAAGTAGCATATAGCTTTACATTCTTAGTCCTGAGATTAGTGGTTTAAATAGTGTGTTTAGGTAGTATGATAATGACTATACTTATCCAGCAAAAAGTCCATGGAGCAACACATTTCAATCAAATAGTATCTCTTCTTTTTTCTTCCCTTTTCTTTTCTTTTTTTTTTTTGGTAGGTCATTTATATTATATATATTTTTCAAACATTTTATTGACATCTACATCACATCACAGTACAAAATATGTCCTCACAGGAGGAGGGTTCTCATTCTCAAATATGATAGCAATGAAATCGAGGTTTTTCTGTGAGAAGCACATCCGCCTGCTCCGGTAGCCATAAAGATAAGAGGAAGGGGGATCACTCTATGTTCATGACGTGAAGGCTCATGGATCGTAGGGAGGGCAGGATTTTTGAATCTTTGTTTTTGGGATTCAAAGATGGGTGTAGGTAACATATTTGCATACTAAAGTTATGGTAATTATTACTGAAATGAAACAGGATTTTGTTAGTAACCTATTGAAGAGTTGTGGATTGAGTTGCTTACCAGTATTATCAGACATATGCTTATAATAGGATAAATATATAGTAAGCTGATGTCTTATAACCATGGAATACAGGTACTGCTGTCCGCAAAGGAAAGTTTGACAGAACAGGTATCATTTCTATTAGTTGTTAACAGAAATCTGAATGGAATGGGATGTAAAAAAAACATCAAAAAGCAAAAAAGGAAAATATAACAAAACTATGACTGAATAAGTTCTCAAGACTTGAACTGTAGACATGAGAAGTTCATGTTTTCACTAAGATTAAGAAGAAAACAAATTGCTGGTTTTAGTTTTGGTTTCTATGACAACATACATCCCATGCCATTTAAACCTTATGTACTCCTAACCCCTTAATTTCTTGTAGTTAACATGCCATGACAATCCATGCCATTATAACCTATGTACTTCTAACTCTCTAGTTTCTTGTAGTATACATGCCATATGATAACAATTTGCTTTATAGGCCATGAAAATAAAACTCGAATGGAACCTTACAAATTACGTACCAGGTATATGTAATGTCCCAACACTGAAAGATGAAAGTTTTGTGAAAAAAAAACAAATATATGAAAATGGTATTTTTAAAACTTTCTCATGTCTTTCATAACACGTTTAATAATGAGACATAACTAATTAGGCATGACTATTAGTCTCTAAATGACAGCACATATGCACAGATGCAAGAGCATTTGTTACGGAAGAGGCAAGATTTTGTGTAGTTTTATGAACAGTTTTGAATTCATTCTAAAAATCTTTCTTCAGACACTAAAACACTTTGAGTTAGTTTGGACTAGGTAAGATTCCATTGCGTTTCCATGGCAACATATCCCTTATTTCTTGACAGTATCAGTGGGAGCATGCTGTACTGGAGACTGTCTTAACAACAGACTAGCGGCTTTGCTATCTAACGCTGTAACCCTGTAACAAAGTGCATGCCTAATTTTACCTTACAGGAAAACAACAAAGTAATCAACAACAAACATATCATTGATGATGACACTGTCAGTTTGTTTGTGTTCGGAGAGGATGAGAGCGAACTCGCTACAGAGGCAGAGAAAAATGCAGGCGTGGTTCCTTATTACAAAGTGGCTAAACATCACTATGCAGATTTACCTCTGCATAGCGGGAAATCTTACGTAAGCCCACGATACAAGTTCTGTCGCATGACGACACTCCTTGGTTACCGTCACTGTAGACATGGTGTAGTAGCACACCATCACGATGTTGTTCCTCGACTGCTGTGGCTGATTATATTACACTATTGTTTTGATTTTGTGGCCAACCTTGTCATAGTTCTGCCACCATTCATGCCACAGTTTTGTTATGCATTATGTGTGATTTTCTGTACAGCGTGTGTTTAGAACTGGATGTACCATTGTCTTTAGTCCTTCACAACAGTGCTTCTCGTATAGTTTCTGCTTAGTAATGCTTTGTATAGGGATTTCCTTCACATGCTTCTCTTTCTTTTTTTTTTTTAAAAAAGTCCATGGTCCATTAGGAATAACATCTTTGTGCCTTCACTGATAAAAACCGTCATATTTACTGTCTTTCTAGTGGTTTTTTCATTTTTTCCTTGATATTGGGAAATAATTTACCTTGTTGGTGAAATTAGAAGCAATGTCGGGATTTTTCAGAAACAGCTTGTGTAGAAAGAACACCACAGCATCTTACATTAGATAGATGTTCTGATCAATGTAATCAATATTCAAGGCCATTTAAAAACAAAAAGCATTGTTTGTATTTAACAAATTGTACAGTTTGAAAAATTCTGTTCCCTTAATTACTGTATTTTTCAGCCTATAAATGGCACCTGAGTATAACCAGGGCTAGTTTTGAGTGATTTTCATGATTTCATCCATGTATACGCCACACTTTCTTATGATATGATGACCAATGTGTAAGTGGGCATGGTGGGCCCTAAGAGTGCTTTTCCATTATTTTTCATTAATTGGTAAATATATACATAATTATGTACAGCTCCCAGAAATAATGGAGGAATTTTCAGGGCCATTTACAGCATCCTACAGGTTCTCAAAAAATACACAAAAACCCTTTCAACATTTTTAGACATAGATTACACACATATAAGATTTTTTTTTTTGTTGCCTGTGCCGGAAATCCTCAACCTATCAATCCCAAGGTGCAATAGTCTACTGGCAACATTCACTACACTTTCTTGTTGTCATGAAACCACGTCAGTCAAGAATATATTACTGTTTCATATCAACATGATTAATGATTCATTAAACTCACAGGAATATTATTTGATTGATATCTTCAAATTATTTAGTATACGATTGCAATTGGCTCTACACAATTTGTTTCAGTCACAAACACGCAATACTCCTAAAAACCAGTTTATGACATCTCGTACTTGTACTACATATTTTTCCCATCCTGCCGATTGTTTTGGGTTTGTCCACATATAAGCTACACTGGCGTATAAGCCTCATGCCCAACTCACTAGGAAAAATGTTAGGAAAAAAGTCACAGCTAAAAGGCTGGAAAATATGATATTTTTCAAAATATTTTCATCAGTAAAAAGTAAAATCAAGTACAGACTAAATAGAAACATGTTTATATGACAAAGAGCAGAGGAAGAATTAAAGAAATTCAAATACCGGTATATCAATTACACCAGATGAAATTTCAAGGAGATTTGATGTAATGGAGTAAGAAATTATCCTGATAAGATGATTAACGGTGACAAGAGAGAAAAAGTATTACCAAGATATTTAAACAAATATATAGGGATTGTATCGTTTTTAAGTTATCACAAAGGAACTATGTGACCTATGTATAATTGTTGACCGAGCTACATATACCCCATAATCACATAAAGCTTGAGCTAGACAGGAATTTCTGTAGCAAATCTGTAATTTTGGTAGCCAACTAAAGGAGTTCCAGGTGTTTTACATCTAATATTTCAAAGGAAAATGCTTACATTTGTACTGTCTTTGTGTATATATCTCTGTCACATTCTGTAGTTGGGACAGGTAGAAATATTTAAACAGAGTTATTGGCCTTGCTTAATTGTGATGTTTGCACTGGAATCTATTTAACTTTGAGCTATTCTAGTTTTACATTCATTGGAAAGCAACTTCAAAATAGGTAAATCAAGTCATTTGATAAATAACCCTTTTCAGTATTAGTAAATATCATATGTCATTGTATAAAGAATTATAAATGAATGTCTGCCCTGAGATATGATGATGAATTAAGATTTGTGGTAGAGGATGTGGTGAAGTAGTTAGTCATGTGATTCAGTGTTGTATCTGTAAATTTCCATTCAGTGCATGAAGTTGCTGCAATTGCAGGACATTTGTATATCAAACTTTACATGAACATTGGTAAACTGTTGGATTTCACTTTCACTAAATGTATTGAATTGATACTACAATATAACAATGATCACCAAGAACACCATAGCTTTGATGTGGTCACAGGATATACAGACAGAATTCATTTTATTGTCATTAGCTTTCTATTATCACTGCATTCAGCTATAAGTGTGCTTTTTTAGTTGCTGTACTTCTAAATCACCTTTATGTATGTCGGCTCACTGTAGATGTTTGGTGCATCCCTCCATATTAAAGACCAGTGCAGTACAACACTGCCCAAGATTTTGATAGATATACGACCTACATTGATACAGTGTACTTTCAGGAATTTTTATTGTCATATATTGTTTTGTTTGACATAAGTTCTATCATACAGGACTCATATTGATATCAGAACCAGTATTGACCACAAAGGAAAGAAAATTTGAATCTATATGAAAGATGCTAAATGTATATGGTACATGTATGTTTACAAACTGTAGGGTTCAATCTGGTTACTTAATTATGTTGTATCATGGTAATTAGGTATATAACTATCCTGGTTTGTGTCCAGATTTGTTTGGGGTTTACAGAATTTATGTACTTTTTGTTTCCTTTGCTATTATTTAATCTACATAA